ATCTATGCAAATCAAACTTTCATTTTCAAATTCATGCTATAGTCCCACATATTCACAAATTTATTCATTTAATTAATAACTATTTGGGGGCTCCTTCCAAATGTAAAGAGCTATGTGTATTAGGAAATTTTAAAAGTGTGTAATTGATCTCCTAGTGGTTAGAGAGATAAGATGGTGTGGCAGGTTGGGTTCCCCAGGAAGCAGATCCAGAGGTGGAGATTAGGACGCGTGGAAGTTATGAGGATGGGCGATTGTGGGAAGGAACAGAAGGACGCAGGAGGGCGAAGGAGAGTGGTCAACCTGTGCAGCAGTCTCAACAGAAGCCTCAGGTGATGCACTCATGGGAGTTCTGACAATGGAGGTGTCTCCATTGACACAAGAGGCTCTCATCCGTATGTCTCCTCAAAGAGCAGTCGTCAAGAAGAGCTGCCATTAAAAGCTTGGAATGACCTCTGGAGAGGCCTCTTTCTTCAGGTGAGGCAATTCCTGAAGGGAGTGGTATCTCACAGCTGTCTACAGACATCACTTCCAGCAGCAAGAGTAACATAGTCTTAATTTTTGAAGGCAGATCTGTATAGTGCATCACGGCATGCAGCCCAGATAATAACGCTACTAACAGCCCCATGTGGGAGAAAGTGACCATGTCATACATTTTATACAAGGACTGTAGATAAACATCACTTATAATACTAAAACTTTTGAAACTACTTAAGTGTTCAATAACAAATGACCAGTTAGCTAAATTACGGAAAGCTAAGCAAGACAAGACTGTGCGGACATTACATATCATGCCTTTAAAAATAGCTAAAGGAATATGAATTGTGTAGTAGAGTAGCTAAGAAAATAAGGGGGTAAAGCTATATAAATTGGACAAATATAGACATTAGACATTCTTTAAAAACTGGAAGGAAATTCAGCACACCAAAAACAATGACTACATCTGGATTGATGGCAACCTGTTATTTTCTTTTCTGTTTTTCCAAACCTTGTATAATGAAAGTAGATTTGCTTTTATAATCAGATAAATAACTTTTTGAGGAGAGACAATAAAATATTAATTTCTGTCCATTTTCAGGTATTTGCACCCAGAAGGATTGCCTTCTGACTACACAATCAGTTTTCTATTCCGGATTCTTCCTGACACTCCAGAGGAGCCATTTGCTCTTTGGGAGATTTTAAATAAAAATTCTGACCCATTGGTGGGAGTCATTTTAGATAGTAAGTATGTTTATTTATTTAT